TGGCATTGATGAAATTTGGAGTGAATTCAAAAATTGGTTGTGAAGAGAGGTCAGAGCTACTTCTAGTTTTAAGCTGATTAACATGACGTTTGATGTAACCAAAAGATGTGTTCACTCGGTAAACCATTTTACCAAGTTGTTTCACAATAACTCCTTTTATCCATTTTTCCCCTCTTGCGTAGTTTCGAGCGAAGACGGGTTGCTTTAGACTAAATTTCATTTTCCGTTTCGAAGCTTCAAGGTGCTTTCTAGGCGATTCAAACAGTTGACTCAACAAGGTACGAACAGGCCTTCCATGTAAAAGTTCTGCAGGTGATTTACCCTCAGCATTCGGCATTGCACGATATGTTGCAAGATATTTTGATACAGCGAATTTGAGAGACAATCCATCGTCAATGTTTTTCTGAACAGCAGTTTTAAAAGATCTGACGAATCGTTCGGCTAACCCGTTTGAGGCTGGATGAAACGGCGCTGTTGTTATATGTTTGATGCCAAGTTTTGAGCAAAAATGTTTGAATGCTTCAGCTGTAAATTGCGGACCATTGTCACTTACGATGGTTTCTGGTATACCTTCCAGAGAAAATATAGAAGACAATGCTGATATGGTGTCAGCCGTTGTTGTTGTAGATAGTTGTACAACGAACGGAAATTGTGAGAAAGCGTCGACACAAATTAGCCACATTGAATTACAAAATGGACCAGCAAAGTCGATATGTACTCTCTCCCAAGGTCGATCAGCTTCAGGCCAGCTTAAGTATTCACGTGCGTGAACAGGATTTGCAATTTTGCACACATCACAATTTTCAGTTAATTGTGCGATGTCTTTGTCAATATTAGTCCACCAGACATGTTGTCGAGCTAGCTGTTTCATTCTCGATACTCCCCAATGACCATCATGAAGAAGTTTAAGAATTTTCTGCTTAAGGGAGGCTGGAATGACAACCCGGTTGTACTCCGTCTGGAGGCAAAGCAAATTGTTGTTTAGTATTAAAGCAAAGCGATGATTGAAAAATGATCGAAGATCAGCATCTTGAGGCATTAGCTTTTCAGGCCAACCGTTTGTAACGAGAAAATAAACTCGGCGAAGAATTGGGTCATTTTTGGCATGCTGACGAATTATTTCAGCGTCGATAGGTGTGTTAAGTTCATTGATGTTGAAACAGGATTCTTCATGATCAAAAGTTTTGTCTTCACCAACAGGTAAACGAGATAAAGCATCGGCATTTCCATGCTCAGTAGTTTTACGATACCGAACATCATACTGATAAGCCATTAGTATAATAGCCCATCGCTGTAAACGATGTGACGTCATCGACGGCAACTGATGAATTGGATTAAAAATGCTAACAAGAGGTTTGTGGTCAGTAACCAAGGTGAATCTTCTTCCGTATAAATATTGATGGAAACGCTTGACTCCAAAAACGATAGCTAGCCCTTCCTTCTCTATCTGACTATATCGTCGTTGATGAATGTCGAGAGTTTTAGATGCAAAAGCAATAGGCCTTTCTAGACCGTCAACGTACGTATGCGAGAGCACGACTCCTATGCCATAGGAGGAGGCATCTGTAGCTAGAACCAACGGTAAATCTTCCTGATAATGTGCTAATTGCGCTGCATTGAGAATATGCGTTTTAAGAGCTATAAATGCTTGTTGTTGTGCTGTACCCCATGTGAATTTTACATTTTTTCGGCGCAGCATGTTGATTGGCGCGGATAATTGCGAAAAATTAGGTATAAAATTATGGTAATAGTTTACCTTACCCATGAATGCTTCTGCTTGCTTTAGATCTTTAGGCGGCTGCAGGTTTTTTACTGCTTTTAGTCCCGACTCATCTGGCAATATACCTTTTGCACTAATTTGACGCCCGAGATATTCGATTTTATCTCGCAGAAAGAAACATTTTTCTTGCTTGCACCTGATACCATTTTGTTGCAAAATAACTAAGATAAACTAAGTTTCTTAAGCGGCTGATGTTTTGTAAAATGTAGTGATCAGGTGGCGAAGGATGATGATCATCTGAGATTAATTTAATCCACAAACCTTACTACGCACCTTGAAGAAAAGCTCAAGATATCCTTTGAGAATTAGGCAATGTGAGCCATTGCATTCCACAAACAGGTAAACGTTAGGTTAGTAAGGAATAACCCAAGTGGAGTGTTGACAACCATTATTGTTTTTGCTTCATCGTCGAGTTCCATTTGTAAATACGCATCCTTAAGGTCGATTTTTGTAAAATGTTGACCGCAATTTATTTTATGGAAAAGACTTTCGCGTATGGGCAAAGGATATTGTTCAATGTCAATTTGCGCATTGACTGCTTGTTTAAAATCCCCACAAATTCTTATGGAACCATCAGCTTTTGGCGCTAGTACAATAGGCGAAACCCATTGGGAAAACTTCACAGGTTTCCAAATACCCGCATTTGTCAATCGATCGACTTCTTTCTTGAAAAGTGACATTTGCGAAAATGGAATTTGTCGGCTTTTGTAAAATTTCGGATGTGCATTTGGCTTTAAAAAAATACTGACCTTAAAGTTTTTTATTGTGCCAAGAGCTGGTTCAAAAATATCACCATATTTCTTACACAGCTCGCTAATTCTGTGTGATTCACTTTCAGTAATGTTACAAATTTGTTGAATCTCAAACCCGAATTCTTTAAATAAATCGAAACCGAATAAATTGTTACAGTTTTCGACATCCACGACAACGATTACCACTTCCCTTTCTTTTCCGCCACATTTGATATCTACGCAAAGTTCACCAAGCACTGGAATTTCATTTTTGCCAAAACCAAATAAGGTTTTTGTACAATTCCGCAACTTTGGGCAATTTAGAGTTTTGAATGTTCGCTTATTTATTAAAGAAACTGTTGCACCAGAATCCATTTGGAAAGACACAATTTTATTACAAATTTCCAAGTCAATGTAATTCTTATTGCTTTCAGTTTTTACAATACCTGTTAAACTGTTAATTGTTTCAACAGTACCAATGTTGTGACTTTTACGACGGTAATCTTTCTTCTTGTTTTCATCACCTAAATTACGTTTGTTGTTCTTGTTTTGTTTTGACATGCACACTGGCGCAATATGTCCAATTTTGCTACATCTATTGCAAACAGCATTTCTAAATTTACAGTTTTCTCTTGCATGAGAGTTTCCACAGCCAGAACATGATTTGAATTTTACTTTATTATTGTTATTGTTGAAAACACCCGGCTTTTTTATGTACCAACTGAATTAACAGGCATTGAGTTTTCGATCGTTTGTTCTTTAATTGTTGCCACCGTTTTAGTGGTTGTTTCGTACAATTCTGCAATCTGTAAAACATCAGCAAGTGTTGGCTGGGGCTTTTGGAACGCAGCCGTGCGCACTGCATCGTGCGGTGTACGTATAATAATTTGGTCACGAATCATATCATCCACGAAATTGTGCAAACAATTCTGGGCTGAGCACGAAAAGTTACACTCTCTTGCCAATCCGCGGAGATCGGCTATCCACTCTCTGTATGATTGATGTGGCTTCATTTCCCTTTTGAAAAAATCGTAACGTGCAGCGACCACATGTCGTTTCGACTGGAAATGATCCGTTAGTTTTTCCGTTAAATTTTCGAAAGATTGTTCTTGTACTTTCGTGTTACCGAAAAGATTTTTTAGCAGCTCAAAATTTTCTGTGCCAATCCAAGACAAGAAAAATGATTTTTGTTTTTCACTGCACTGAACTGAATATGCTAAAAAATGTTGGTTAAGTTGTTCTAAGTACGATTCCCAGGTTTGCTGTTCTTTCGAAAATTTGTGAAATACTGGAACAATGTTGTTATTTCTTTCAGATACACCGGCAGTACCTTGTTTTTGGAACATTGAGTCCATCCACTCACGTTGTTGTTTCAGTAAATTTTTTGAGAACTCTTGTTGTTCTTTAAGCAATTGCTTATAAATTTCACTTTTAACTGAATTTTGTTTACATTTCATTATTTAAGATTGCTTAAACTAATGCAAAACATACTAGATTATAACACATATTAAATAGTTTTGTTAGATAAAGATAAATGTGATAGAATATAATATTGTGTCCTTTCTTCTTTTCTAAGGATAAAATTGATTGAAATTTATGATGTAGATTTGTAAAATTTTAATTCGTTTTACGAAAATTTAAAATGTCTACTTAAAGCTGATTAAAAGCACTAGTTAAGAATTTTTAAATTTGATTCCAAATTATGTTAATTTATTCTAGACAGATTAATAGCAAATTATCTTAAAAGTTCCAAGCTATTTAACGTAGTTATCTTTGAATAATTTACATGAAAAACTCTACAATGAGCGTTTTAATCTGATACTGTTTGTTGTAGATTGAAAAAGTCTATCCAATGCAAGGAAAGTTTGTAAAGTTTCTATTTAGACTATAAAGGAGCACAATTTACAGATATTACCATCAGGTATGCCTTAGTTAGATATATGCCATTTTATAGTTTATTCTCGTGAGTACAGAGGTTCTTTTATTAACCTTTCTCCAGCTTAGGTCAGGTCTGTGTCATCCTAAGCTCTAGTTTTCGTGAGTGCAAATATTACTTTGAAAACTTTACTGCTTTTTATATAAAAACGCCTGTAGTTAAGGATTAGCTAAGTTGCCCTTTATCTCACTAGCATATCAAGATTTGATAAATTTTTTTTGCGTTATTGTAGAATGCCACAGTATATCAACCCTGTACTGTAATTATCGTGGAAAAAACTAATAATAGGCAACATAATTCTTTGGAATTTTCTTTGGAATAGGCAACATAATTAGCCATGTTACGCTATATTCGTATGATCAATATATAAAAATAGAGTTATCTTTAATATATTACTCAATATATTAACATTTCTTCTATTTTCGTATACTAACTCGGATAAGATTTATGCCACTGAAATACCTCTAAAAGCAGTTTGTGAGAATATAAATCTCTTTTCTATTAAATTTATTATTTTCAGAGAAAAAACTGATTCCTACTTAAAAAAAGGTATCAGTTTGCGATTAATTTATCTGTCTATACCGCTTACCATTTGGAATCCATCGATATACACTGCTGTTTTATCTTGCTTTGAAATCTGGTCTACATTTTAAAGTTCTTACGTTAGAATACAAGTCGTGTAGAAAATTATAAATATTCCACCATTTTGAAGGGATCATTTTGATATAATATCATAATCGATAGTTTACCATGTAGTCAATAGTATTAGTTGAAAATATTCTTTTTTTATTTATCATTTTGTCATTGGATGAAAAAAAAATACAATAATTGAAAGTCTAAACTGCATAATTTCATAAATTTTGAATTCATCATTATCAAATTTAAAATGAAATTTTCCAAGAAATGGAAACTTAGAATAAAAATATGTTCCACGTAATAGGTCTAATATCGAAGTTAGCTAATTCGCGTAAACAATATGTAGCATGTCGTAAACACTCAAATTCAGACGTTTGGACTAAACACTTTAAAAGCTTGAAAATAGTAGAGCTATTGAGTATTGATATATAATATCAATATATTATTTAATATAAATTATATTCAGTTAAAGTCCTAATACAATTGACAAGCCATTCAGTGTAAATCTAACCGAACTGAGATTCTTAATTCATTTATTAGAAAGAGATTATTTTTTTAATTAGAAAAGATTTTTTTATGCTCTATTATTTTTTTGATAATATCTTCCTTTGTTGTTAAAATATTCTGTTCACAAATAAAACTTAATTTCATCATACTTTAATGGACTATAGTTTATAACTCTGATAACAATCTAGAATACACTTACTTTCATATCGTATGCTTTTCTTTCATCATATTCTCCTGTGTTCTTATCATATTTTGATGAAAAATGAAACTAATTTCAATATTTTTAATTTTATTTTGTGTTTCTCATCTTTCAGATCACATGACCGAGAAAGTGGCGACTACGCTGGTTCGATTTCTGATTTGCAAAGTGTTACCTCACGCCTCAGCACAGTTTCGGTAAGTATTTTAAGTAAACTCATGCAACTCATAAAATCCTTTAGGTGTCGCAGTCACATTTCAGCCATTTACTAAATCTCAAATGGATAAATCTGAAATGTCCTGCGGCAAGAATTGCACTTCATTTAAATTCCGAAATCAGTACGGAATAAAAACTTTAAGGATGTCATTTGTCACGCCAGCTAAATTGATTAAGTGCACTTCAAAAATATAAATAAAAAATAAATTATTTCATTGAAGAGAAAATAAATAAATAAAAATAATTCAAAGGAGATGGAGAAGCACAAAGTACTGTAAATAATAAAGATGAATAAAACTTTTTGCTATTTTAGCAACACAATTTGTGCCTTTTTTCCAAATATATTTTTCTTATTTTTCCATACAAAAAGCAAAAAAGTTAAAACAAACACAAAATGTGAAATGCTTTTAAAAAGTTAACATTTTGCTGTGATTTAATATTTTTACAGCCAATAAAAATAAAACTTTCAATTCCATTGATGCCGTCATTTTCCATTTTTTTACTTTTCTTTACGGTTTCTGTATTTTTTCCAGTGTATTTATTGTCAACAGATTTAGAATTTCAACCAAAAACAATCTGTCCAACTCAACTTTAGCCAATAAATTATTTATTTTATTTTATTTTATGTATTTTTTTTAAACTTAATTCCATTGTTACTAAACCATTTCTTTTTTTCCTTCACAGATTGGCACAAATAATTGCACTGCACGTTACCGCACTTTAAGTGGCGGTCGTGGTGAGTCACCATCCTTGTCACCGAGTCCATCATCTGATTATGAAGACATTGCAGCATCGCGTGGCTTGCCACCTAGTCTTGTGGCAAAGAGCAAAAAGAATGGCATCGCACACAAGGCGAACACCATCAGTCAGAAAGCCACAGTACATCACGTAAGTCAATAAACACATCTGCTACACTGTTTGATATATGTATGTGAGAAGGACTATAAGTGTGTGTTGTGTGTGTATGGATTAGAGCATATCTAGCACGGAAACGGAAATGCACTATTAAACTTCTACCTAACAACAAAATTTCAATTTACAATTTCTGTTACGAATTCTAGTTGGGCAAAAAATGAAACAAAACGAATCTTATCGCGTTTGGAGACACAAATTTTGTGGCGTTGTGTAATTGTGTAGGAATGTGTAATAGTGTAGGTGTAGATAATGAATGCCAACTATTGCTGCGGTACTGTTATGGTTATTTGGAGTTTGGTTTTAGTTCGTCGCTCCACTTACGCTTCACTTGCAAGCTGCTCACATTCTTACCAGTGCGCAAGTTGTGCATTTGTCATCCGTTTTTGCACAAGTTTTGTTTAATTTGTTTAGTTTTTGTCGGAAACTTCCTCTACTATGTAAATAGAGCTTTGCTTTAATTGGAAAAACCTTCGGAAAATCCAATTTTAATTAAACTCAATCGACCACTTTCATTCCATTGCAAACTTTGTCGTGTAATGTTTTATTGGTTTACACTCATCGCATTGCATTTTACTTGCAGCAAAGGAATTATAAATTTAAAATTTTGTAACTGCAAAGCTCAATGAATGAGTTCCTTTTATACCCTTCAAATTATAACAAATTAATAGTATATGTACCAAATATACATCCTTTATGGAATGAAGTTTGTAGTGCGGAAACTAAAATCGGTTGTTAAACAACATAACATGTCAGATCTATTAAAATTATCAAATTCATACGCTGCTACTTATCTGACTCTTGATCTATTCGACTATATTTTTAAGGGATCACCAATAGGAATGAATTTGTCGATATGTATGATAAGATAGATCAATAAATGATTTAGTTGAATAGGAATTCTATATGAATTCCTAGATGTACACTAGATTACGAAAACTAGCATCAAACACTTCAACGGAAATTGTGAAGCTATTTGAAAATGATCGTCTGTCATCCTCATACTCCAGCCTAGGGCCATGATCGGAATGTTAAATAATGTTAGAGCAACTCAAAAATGTTTGAACTACTCGAAAATTTTCGAGCTACTTGAAGATGTTCGAGCTACTCAAAGATATTCCAGCTACTCGAAAATCTTCGAGCTACTCAAAGATATTCCAGCTACTCGATGGTGTTCGAGCTACTCGAAGATGTTCGAACTAGTCGAAGATGTTCGAGCTAGTCGAAGATGTTTGAGCTTGTCGAAGATGTTCGAACTAGTCGAAGATGTTCGAGCTACTCGAAGATGTTCGAGCTACTCATAGATGTTCGAACTACTCGAAGATGTTCCAGCTACTTGAAGTTGTTCGAGCTACTCAAAGATGTTCGAACTACTCGAAGATGTTCCAGGTACTCGAAGTTGTTCGAACTACTCGAAGATGTTCGAACTAGTCGAAGATGTTCCAGCTACTTGAAGATGTTCGAACTAGTCGAAGATGTTCCAGCTACTCGAAGGTGTTCGAGCTACTCGAAGATGTTCGAACTAGTCGAAGATGTTCCAGCTAGTCGAAGATGTTCGAGCTACTAGAAGATGTTCGAGCTACTCGAAGATGTTCGAGCTACTCGAAGATGTTCGAACTACTCGAAGATGTTCGAGCTACTCGAAGATGTTCGAACTACTCGAAGATGTTCCAGCTACTCGAAGATGTTCGAACTACTCGAAGGTGTTCGAGCTACTCAAAAATATTTGAACTACTCGAAGATGTTCGAAATAGGCGAAGGTGTCCGAGCTACTTAAAGATGTTCCAGCTACTCGAATATGTACGAGCTACTCGAATATTTACGAGCTACTCGATGATGTTCGAGCTACTCGAAGTTGTTCGACTTACATCCTTGATGTTCTAAAATGTTAGAACTATAATTTACTATAATGTTGTCTTAACAAATATTTTTTACATATTTCTATTGTAAATAAAAATATTGTACTGACATACCTTAAAATTTAAAAGTCAATAATCTAACTAGAGGAACCAAAAGACTTTCCCTAACTTCAATTAAAATAGGTGTACACATTACAATTATTATGCTTAAAGGACCGTAAGCAATCATTTCAATCGACTAGAAACCCCTACTGATTACTACTATTGTAATTTCGTATAAAAGGAGAAATAAAAATGTTACTTATCTACTTTGTCATTCCTTGGCATTTGGGAGAATATGTATATTTACTCTAGGGTCCCCCTTTCTCAAGTGTATGTCCGCTAACAGCAATAAAGACATTAGTAACAAAAATAACTGTATCACGCATGATGTTGTCCATCTGTTTCCTTGCCACAATGCACACACAAACTTTAGTTCAATCTATCTTTGGACCTGCCTTTATAGAAGTCAATAGGTTTGATACTAGTTGACTTTAATTTAAATTCCACAAGTTCCTCAATCCAATCTGACTACTAAATAATCTTGTGTCCTTTACTTTACTAGTACCTATCATCATCCTAACTCATATATTTGTCTTCGCATATGAATAACTTTCGTATTATCTAGTAGAACCTTTTGAATTACAACAACCACAATACTGTTTTATTAAAATTCGAAAGGGGATGGAAGAACTTCTTTTACGGTCTTTATAAGTCTTGTCTATTGCGTGACGTTGTTTCAAAGCTGTCTACCAAAAAAATCGACTGCCGATTTTCCGTTTATTATTACAGAGTACAAGAGTTTAAAGCACTAAATATACTTTCCTTAAATAGTAGAAAACTTTTTTAATAAATAATTCAAATATTGTTTTTGAAAAGTATTGAAATTTCATTTTTTCGGAATTTTACTTACTTAAAATACTTGGAAGTTAACAAAAACTATTTGAACAGAACAAGAAGTCAGACACTCTGCTTGGTAGAAAAAGTAACTAACAAGTAATTTATTTCCGGAAAATTATATTAAATACTAAGAAGTCTCGACTGTTGCTAATATTCCATCCCAATAGCATTATTTTGCCATTTTCAAAGAAATATATTACATTACACTTTTACTAGAAACACTCTGAGAAAAAAAGACGTCTACTCTACTCAGATCGTCGTGTGTAATATTTTAAAATTACATTTAAAATAAAAACAAACTTAAAAAACTATAATATTTTTCACTTCTTAACAAAAAGTGAAAAACATATATACGTATATACATACGCATACACGCATACATGTGTAAATAAAAACAATAAAAAACATTTTCACTACAAATGCACATGCTGCTTACTTTTCACATAAAAGAAAGTTAATAATTCACTTAATACTTTGTAAGTAGGAAGAAGAGCTTGTTTTGTGTGTGTACTGACTGCATGACTGTATGTGTAATGTTAGCTTGTGTGTGTGTGTGTGAGTCTGCACTATTAAACTTTTTAATGATTTAACTAACAAAAACTTTTATTTTTTTTTCTGAATTTTTTTTCTATGTGCTGAAACTATGCATCGTGCTTGCGTTCTTCAACTATAACGTTTTTGTCTTCAACTACAACTTCGTCATCTACAACGCCATCGTTGTCTGGCATATGCGCCCAAAAATATGCTTTGGAATTCACAAAATTCATAAAATATCTAACCAACTTCGGCTAAATTACAAAAACAAAAAAAAACCACTTGCTGCTGTTAACCTAATGCTGTTGATGTGATGTTGCTGCTGTTGCTGTTGCTATTGCCACTGTTGCTGTTAATGGTGGTGTTGTTGCTGTTACTATTTATGCTGCAACTTCTACTTCGACTCAACTCTTCTAACTTTACTAATTCTACATACATGTATACACATATATATATATATATATTCATACAATCTTTTATAAAGTCCAACGAAATGCGAAACTCACCGAAGGAAATTGGCGCATTTAATGAAAATGGCAGGAACTTTGTTGCCACAAAGGATACTTCAAGGGATTTTAGCAATTCCCAAGATAATACCGACCGTGGCAGTATGAGCGATCAGGCTTTTGCATGCTCTGCAAGTTCAGTGGAAAGTTTACCCAGTGCTTCCGGTTCAAGTAAGTTATTTATGTATATATAGTTTTATTTTTATACGCTTACAATCCTATGGAGCTCAGTGCTTTTACAACTCCAACATTTCTATGGGCAATCGCAACTCCCACTACAGATT